GACTAGCTTGTCTTTAGACGAAGAGAGAGTTATTAGAAATACTTAATTGGCTTAAACAGGACGCTGTCGTTGTTTTCGTCCAATTTTAGTTGATTACTAACTTCGCATCTGCTAATTAAAGTTTTAGTATTAAATTTTAAACTTCAAGAATGTGTTACAAATATGCATTGTAGCCAACGTACCATTAGTTTTCTACTATTAAATAATCACTAGAATACCTACCGTTATTTTATATTAATTGTAATAAGCAATAGATTAAATTGTTATAACATTTTCGTAACATAATCTCAATTACTACTCCAAAATCGAGGACTTTTTATTATCCATGTTTAGAAATGACTGCAACATATATTTTGTACAACTTCAACTATCAGTGCATACATTATGCTTGTATACTACTAATAGCGTGTATTGCAATGATTTAGTAGTGACGTTATTAGAAAATATATGTGAATAGTGGCTGTAGTTGTGAAATTTCATACCCAAACCTTTGAATTGGCGGTTACATGAATGTACAAGGGTACATAAATTATGCTATGCTACTAAATTGGGATATTAGGTACCATGGAATTCTAAATGGAATAAAAATAAGGCAAAATGTAAAATATCCATCAGTTGGTGGCAATTCTATTAATCTTTATAGGTAAAAGCAATATTTTTATAATTGATTTATAACTTAAATAAAAATATAAGTAATCGTTATCTTGGGTGAATAACTTCGACTAGAGTGACGTATAAGAAATCTATAGATTACTAAAATCCATATTTTAAATACACTTTGTGGTGTCGTCAATATCGCAGCATATCGTAGCGAAATGTTATGTTTAAAACACTATCAGCAAAGCTTGTATATGACTCTATATGTTTGATAGTATCTGAAGCAGAAATCAAATTTTCATATCTGGGCAATTACAATAGATTTCTAGAGGATATTATATCAGCTATGATCTGTCAATTCTTGCTCATCTTTAGAGAACCTAAGACTTAAATATCATATTTGAAATACCAATAATCCTATTTTAAAGTTTTATCAGTATAATGTGTTGTCTTATATGTTATCTCAGTACCCACGGTCCGCCTGTGGCAAGAATTTACGGTACTACTTTATTAATGCCAAGTTACCATTTATTCGAAATTTATATCGTTAGTAGTATATGATCAATTGCACACTTAAGTGATGTAACAGACGTAATAAATTGCTACAGACTACATCTGTAGCAAGATTTTCTTACTATTATAACTTAATAAAGATTTGACCTCCAAAATTCAAAAATTATGTATATATATAATTATATACGACGCGTAGCAATGCTTTCTCACTATTTCATTAGTGACTAGCTATCATTAAATGTCATACGATTTAACGGTAGCAAGATTCTATTTCTAAATAAATAGAATTTAGACTTTTTCTAATTCGAGATTTGTAGTAATAATTAATCAATTTCGCGCAGGAAAAAAGTTATAGGTTGCGATCCCGCTTTACCTAGAGCAAAAGTTTTTACTGATATATTAATATCGTTAGAGTAAAATTTATAATAATGTTAATGATTTCACGCTTAATATATAAATTTATAAAATATAATTATACCTATTCGTAACTACTTGCGCATCAATTAGAAATTATGCCCGTGACTGTTCGATTTCACTAATCATAAAATATTTTGCAACAAGTATCTTTGGCGGCGCTATATTACTACCTACTGTACCTTAATAGTAAGTGATCATCTTTAATTCTAAATTTATGATATTACTTATAGATTTGAGGTTTAATGAACGTTTCAGGAACTATAAACCGCTGTTTTTAGTGCAGTAAGATTCTTTTACTCCTATAATAATGACTTGATGTTTTTACGTTATAATTTATAATAGTAACTAGTCACTTTTGCGCTTAGTGAACTTAATAGTACGGTAATTTACCTGGACTATCAACGGTGATTAATCTGACTACTTTGATGACGACAAGATTTCTATCTCTAGCAAGAAGCATCATAAAATGCTGTATGATTTATCTACGCAATATTCTCATTATATGCTATTAATATCAAGATATCTTTATATCGAAACTTATAGTAGCAACTGGACAATTTCTTGCATAATGTATCTCATAAAATACTATCACAACCTGTTAGAATATTTTTGACTTGATCACAGTCAATAGCTGCCAATTATATTGGAAAAACTATACCTTTGTACAGTACTTAGTTAGCTAATCATGAGATTGTTGTACTGATTAAAATTCGAATTTAACGTAATAAATAGACAATATCGTCGTTTGTATTTTCTGCAATCCCCAATAAGATATTATACCGATGGACTAGAGCAAGACCTCTACTACTTTGTTCATGAGTAGCTACCTCATTCATGGATGTTCGTTCATGAAATATGATCGAAGATATTAAGTTGAGCTAAGGTGAGCTTTTAGAAGCAGACATGTCTACAGCTGAAGTCGTAAGACTTTGATATGTCATAAGTTAAAGTTCACGTGTTCTTTTTAATTGATCACAATAATTTATTAATTATTCACTATCATAAGTAATGAAATGTCGAAATATTTTATAATAGAAAGAGAACTAGTTATAACGGAGTAATGTCCTAATATAAGTTCGACAGTCTATGAGGCCAGAAAATAAAGCGAAGTAGGCTTTTTTTGCGCTTTGAGTAGCTATTAAACTATCACTCTGTGATAAAGTGATCTTCAAAACAATAAATCAAGAAGTACAGTTTCTTGCAAATTTCACTTTATTACAGAAGTTAGGTTCGTCTAACTACCAAGGACTATCTGACTATCTGACAATCTACTTATTACAGCAAAATTCACGATTTATATACGATTAGTTACAGAATGCTTTTACTGTAACAAATCTTATCTTGCCCATTAAGTCGCAAGATCAGATCTAAATTTACTATCGCGCAATCTATTCATAATTCGCGCGTCTATTTAAAGCATTACAATACAATACTTACAGTACTAGCATACTTAGCGCAAATCTATTTATATCTCAGATCTTTATATAAACATCTTAATAGATTCGCTACAATACGTACTGTAAACATCTTCTACAAATAGACTCTTACACAATCTTACACTCTAGCTTACAAGTTAAGTTATTCTCGTACAGTCTTATAATAGTAATCTAAGCTATATTTGGGGCTGCACTACACACTCTCACCACAGCTTACTACTATCACTCTTGCCTCCAGTAAGATTAATTTTATAATTTATACTACTTGAATATGGCAGTAATTTATTTCCCAACAGCAATTTTGAGAGGAAAATCTTCATTTTGCGGTACAATGATGCATAACGTAATAACAATTGTTGCAATACTGCTACTTTTCGGTAAATTACAGCGTTGAAGAATTAGTAGCAAGCAATAGTAATCATTTAAGAGCCGTTACTACTGTATAAGTAAAACTTGTATAAATGATGTTGCACCGGTACAGAAATGTAATTTTATTCTTAAGGTTAAATAAATATAAGAGAAGCAATGCTGTGACTCGCTAATAGTACACTCAAATTATTCATTAATAAAGAGTAAATCACGACTTGTAACTTTTAGCTGGCGTAAGACGGACAGGATATCGATGAATTAAAATTATTATTATACATAAATTTTCGGAAATGTTACTTATTTGTAAATTCGTAGAAGGAAGTTGGCGTATATTGTTAACTAGTCATTTAATTCCATGTAAAGATTACTTAATTTAAAAGACCTATGAGATTTCGTTATTAGCATGGATTATTCGGTGTGATAATATGAAAACAGTTTCTACATTACATGTTAGCATGAGTAAGTGCAGTAAGTTGTAATAGCTGTTAATTAGACGAAATTTTGCTAATGCTCAAGTTTAACGAAATCTTATTTCATACAAAATATCCAGGGTTTATCATTATACTAAAATTAATAATTTTACACCTACAGAATGCGAAAATAGTATGTAAATAGCCCAAGCAATTAATTTAAAGTTAACTTTTGTAAACTGGAATATTAAGATCATTATTTTTAACAACAATTATTTTAGGAAAAATTATATGAGTAAAAGTGACTCCAGTTCAACATCTGAACTAAAGTATTTTCGCTACAAGAGTAGTGATTAGAGCCAGTTATTAACCATTTGGCAGAGATTAAGTCTTACAATTTGGTTAAAATGTAAGAATTATCTATCGTGCAATGAATTTATGGTTGCTATCATGACTCATCATTACTACGAAAGCAATAATAGTTAAGCAGCAGAGTCATACCACAAAGTTAATATTTTACGCATCTTTTTTAAAAGTTGGATAGTTGCATGCTGTAACATGAAATTTCATTGAATTTATAGCAGAATAAAAGCAAAATTTATTAATCAGAAACGGTATTAAAGCCTAAAAATATAGCAGGATTTAATCTATCTTGCTCTAAATTCTCCTATTTACATTAGATAGCCACGGTAAAAATAAAATTAACGTTCTAAACTTTGCTTTCATTTCCGGATACCTGTGTAGCCTCCGCGCGATAGCTGAAAGGCTATTACAATAAATCATAATTCCCATAATATCATCAATTAGATATTATAATTTTCATTGTAATCTTTAATTACCAGTACTATTAACGAGCAACAACTGCATAAAGCATTACTACTGAATTATTGACCGAAAGTATCCAAATAAAACTTTCTCATAAATAAGAAAAAAATCCGAAATTGTGAGTTGCTATCGATCACGACACTTTAGTCTATACTATTGAAGTATCATCTTTAAATACATTAAATTACTTTCATATTATAATTATAGAATACTTTCAGTTTACAATACAATAAGAAGCAGCTGATGTATCAATTGCATGATTAGACAATTCTGGACAAGTATCATACCAACATTCATTCACTCTAAACTTAGTGACTAGAATTATCCAATCGTACAAGTGCTTTGGCTACTATTCACTACCAGACGGCGTCTTTTATGCACAGGCTAATTATCTAATTCTCCGTATGCTAAATTAATATATCGCACTTGATCATCAAGCAGAATTATTAAAAATTGAAGTTAGCCTAGAATGATAATGCATATGCGTATTTTATTAATTATTATTAATTACTGGTAGACCCATCGCTCGTTATACTTCGCATGCAATACTGCACATGTACAATTTTCCAGACTGAGCATATAACTTTATATACACATAACGAATCGCCTGTAATTTATAACTTTATGAATGAATTAAACCAAATTAAATTTTCAATCTTACTTTCGTGTAGTCTTAACTTAACAGACAAAGTATTGTAAATATAGACAATTATTGTACATGTCGCTTTAACTAGGGACTGATAAATAGTTAGCCTTCGCATTTTGGCCGACGAAAGTCGTTGACAGTCACTCTCTCTTTTAGCACTGTTGTTTAGTAGTCTCTGCTTTATCAAGGGCGCGAGCGTTAAAGAATATCAGCATTAAGGCTACATTGCTAAATGGAAATGATCGACTAGGATAAAACATCGTGCAGCTTTCACTTAACGTATTGTATATAGTGCAGTACTTTAAATGTTACCGAATATAATATAGGACTAAATTTCATATTAGCTAATATATTTTAATATCAAGGAGTTTTGGACCTCTTAACTCTATTACAACTATTAACTTAAAATAGCATTACATTCCGTGGAAATTTTTCACTGGTTTCGCTAGTTTCAATTATAACACTTGCTATATTTCATCTCTATATCTCTAGAAGGATTCATACATTTAATACAGTATCGGGTATCACAACTGAACGCTATATTTAATTATAAACTAATTTATAGCGGTACTAAATGAAATTTTGACTTAGAGTGGTTGTAGACTCGTTTTATAGCATATTACATAATGCCCAATAACGTCTGTAGTACTCTTGAAAACTAAAGCATCATTCAGATTTGTATTATAACGCCCAAGTAAAAATATTACGTGGCTTTCATATTTTCCGAAATAAATTACACTATATATAGCACACACTTTGGCTGTGGCGTAAATTTGCAACTGTAATATCTTATCGCTCAGAACTGCTGCTATATCACGTAATCACAACCATAACATATATTGCAAAGTACATGTCACATGGTATGTATCACATAAGGCTTTTTAAATTGCACTACTATGAATTACTAGTCATTTATTGTTATGAAAGTGATAAAAAATGTGATTCGACATTTCACCGTATGCATTAGCTAATTGCAATTACCTACAGGCAAGTTTACTTATCCCGTAGCGTTAAATAAGAGCTGCTTTACAATTCCGTCAATAGTTTAAGTCACAGCATAATCAAGCAACTAAAACAAACAACTGCTTCCATATTAATAATCAACCTTTATTGTTGAAAAATAGTCATTTCGATGAAATTTTAAGTTAGCCATCCTCTAACATAGTGATTACTATAATTTTACAGCAGCGTATGAACCAAAAGCAATACTTTAACTTAATTAGCACTTCATAAATCAAGAATGTTGCAATATTTCTCTCAAAATACGACAACATTATTAGCCATTAGGTAGATCGTTGCCAAAGAAGGAAGTATTTCCACTAACAAATAGCTCTTAAATTGAAGCCAGGGGTAAACCGCTTTAAAATAGAACTTTGGCTCATTACTAACTATACAAATAACAGGTGTCGTGTCAACCACACCGCTTTTGAAGTAAAAGTATTTTGTATCATCCGGTAAACTCCTCATCTCTTTGATAAGTGTTATTCACGGTTATACGTTGGGGTATGTGAAGTGTTAATTTCATATTTTTATATTAACGTTACTGAAAACGAATATGGCATTTACAAAATCATCAAGAATAGATTCCACCATATCAAGTAAAATAGTTTTAATTAATTTTAATGGGATGCTAAATGGGGTATATTCAAAATTAAACATTTTGCTTATATATTGTTGAGTAATATCATTTACGGTTGTAAGAGATAATTCTTAAATACATGCCATAAATTACAGCAATCGATGAGCATTCAAAAAATTCGGTAGCTGATAACTAACTGAACAAATCAAATAGACAACCAATTGAAATATTACACATTTTGCTCTGCCAAAGTAACGTTTTCCTTTCTGATCTTGTGTTCTAAGTAGCTCACTTGCAAATCACCAAACTTATCATCTCTTGGTGTTGTTAATTCTCTAAATCGCTGTCAGTAGAAGATAACCATTTTAGTTTGCGAAATCATTTTTTGTACATTACGATACAGGAGGTCAGAATAATTGTAGATTGTTTAGCTATATCTTACATCGCTCCAAGAGCCATTTGCGGTAAATAATTTAAAGATTGCAATTCCAGGGATGAATACCATGGAACAGCACGCAGTAAACCATCCAACACCATCTGCCCAAGCAGGCATAGGTTTTCCACCGTATGAAGATGGAGTATATCCAACAATCTTGAAGACAGTTACGAACTAAATATCCAAAATGAACAGAGAATTAACATCAAAATTTGAGCAGATACAATCCATTTGCGTTATAATCGTATTTAAAACGATTAAACAACCTACCAAAAGAGTGCCAAGTGAAATAAACTTCCAACACAAGATCCACCAGTAATACAAAAATGGTTTATAACCAATCATTTTTTCGATGTCTTTGGCAAGCCTAAATGCGCCTATATATGCATTAATTCAAATTCAAAATGTTACTAAGACAGTTTTCACAGTAATCAGTTCCAACAGTTTGGTTACAGTATAATTCACAATCTTACCATATCCCCAACCAACAGCAATACATTCGAAGATGCACAAAATCAATAACGAGATTCCGGCAACGTGGTCGTCCAACAATTGTACTACGTAAGCGCCAGCTTGTGTTGCGCAAGGAAGGCCTAATAGATACATAAGGCAACAGCCAATCATACTGATAATCCACTTTCTTGACCTTAATACAGCTGGATACTCATCAACGGCAGCAGTAATAATAGTTTCCATGAAGGCGAACTTTAAAATTAAAAGAAAAAAATTTCACTTAGTCATAGTTAAAAGTCAGATCAGCCAATAATCATCTATAACAATTCCAGTAATATAAAATAGACCTCAATTTAGACAAAGCCATCGATGTTAGCATAGTAATACTCTGCATATCTAAGTTACATATCCAGCAGTAAGTCGACAACACGCTACTACTAAATACTATCCTACCTGACTATCCATTCCAAGGGTTATCAACATAAAGAAAAATATAATTGACCATAATTGCGATACAGGCATCTGAGCTACAGCGGCAGGATAAACAATAAACGCGAGACTAACACCTATACAACGAGACAAAAAAATTGATGGTAGGCAAATCAAAAACTGATACAGATTTCTAAAATGCTACAATTTAACTAGTCAAAGAGTTAATTATTCCCTTACCTTGATCTGCAACTGCTTCAACTGGTCTACCAGAAGCATAGGCCATGAAACCAACAACTGAAAAGATTACAAAACCAGCAAAGAAACTGGTGCCACAGTTGATCAATGATACTGTTAAAGAATCCCTAAAGCAGTACGTGTAATAAGTTAACGATTTGTCTTAAGCACGTCACAAAAATGATTTAGTATAATTTTACGATATACCGTGTATGTAAAACATTACCTAAAACAGTTGTTATAAAACTGGTTATAGCTGGCCATAGTAATCAAACCTCCAAAACCTACACTAAGCGAAAAGAAAATTTGTGTAGTCGCAGATGCCCACACGTTCGCATCCCCAAGTTTCTCCCATCTAGGAGTTAGATAAAACAGAATTCCATCTAAATGGCCTGGAAGAGTTACTCCACGGATTAATAAAATTACAAGCACGACGTAAGGAAAGGTGGCCGAGAAATATACGACCTATTTCATTCCCAAAAGAACACGGTTAATTAGGAAACTGAGATATTAATTAAGATGATTCTGCATCAACATGCATTATTAATATTGCATATACCTTTCCAGATGATTTAATACCCTTGAAAATACAGAAATAAATTACAATCCAAGCCAACAATAAACACAAAGCTAAATGCCATCGAACTTCACCAGGTTGACCAATTCCAGAGCTAATTTTTAATACCTCACGACTAAAATCAAAAATTATTCCCTTTTAGAAATTTTGAAATACAGGTTTGGTATCCAACTGTCGCCACTTAGAATTGTAATACTACTGGCAATTTCACTAAATGTAGTAACCTACGATCGCATTCTCTTATATCAACAATTAAGTAGTACTACATCGTTCAAGAATTCATATTTTCAATTATTGATTATCCAGCAACTTACTTCCAATATTCTTCACTAGGTGTAGTTACAGGTGCATTAATCGGGAGGCAAGGAGCTTTAGTAGCGTTAATTGCTCTAGTAATCATAGTGGTAGGGGCCGCGGTTGCATTAGCTGCAGGGCATCGTACTACACTCACACGGCAGGTTGCGGTATTCCATGTATGATTGCAACTTGCCCAAGGTAATGGATCTTGCATAGATGCAAACATAAAGTAGTAGCACCAAGCAATGATGATGTTGTAGTAAATACCAACACCGAAAGAGCACACCAGCATAGCATAACCAACGCCTGTTCAGTATATAAAATCGACGAAACAGTTCATCACTTTTTAAACATGCAGTAACATAAATTATCCGAGTCTGCAATTGTAGATCGTTGCCAAACATTTGTAAAATAACCATTTAATGATAACGCACCTTTCAGTAAAGGAAACAGATTTTCCCATACTTTAAGAGGTCCCTCTTGCGTATATTGGCCAATTGCAAGTTCCATAAAGAAAATAGGTATTCCGACAAGGATTAACATGGTACAATACGGAATAAGGAAAGCTCCTACATCGTATAATCAAATGATAGGAATTGTGAATCTCGAACCCAAAGCAATTTACGTCGAAGGAGCTGATAAAACTATATCTAGGTATATTTCTACCACGAATTAAACTCATACATGTATAATGTTTGATACAACACTATGATATACCATTAAACTCTAAACAGTTTACGTAAGAAAATAATGTAGCTTTTATTATTTACCTCCTCCGCTAGCAGCACATAGGTATGGAAATCGCCATACATTACCAAGACCTACAGCATAACCAATGCAAGACAGCATAAAGTCCATTTTGTGTCCCCAGTGGCCACGTTCCGTCTCCTCTTCTCCATTTTCCTCGATATACTTTTTTTTTTCCGACATGGTATTCGTAAATTAATTGATGTATAAAGAATTGTAATCTAAAAAGCTATAATAAACCTATATTTTAAAAATAGTGTAATGATGAAACCGGTAAGTGAATTGCTCGTAGGCTACAAAGCGCTATCATACGCAAGCGTACTGTGTTGTGTAGGATATTGCTGACACAACTTCCCAGTCAAATTTTAAAATAAAAAGCCAGTGTCCGCTAAACTCAATATACTACATGGCATTGGAAATAGCCACCTGAAACTGTCAATATTCCAAAATCAAAACAAACCGAGCATAAATTGTAACTCAGCATCACACCAGATGACCGAAACTATTAATCTAATATGCACAACGAACAGCTTCACGATTACAAATGAATGTCCAAGCTTAAAACGACTAATAATAACACTACAATTTAATCAAACATACTATTTTTACAATTGTAGTTCACAATGCGCTATAATGTAATAGTAATGTTGTATTCGAAGGTCCAATTCTTAACAATGCTTGTGAGTGACGAGTAATTTCTACACTAGCACTATTCACTAATACTAATTTTAGTTTCCATGATAAACTGTAGTTACAGAATAATCGCTCATTTAACTCGTACTAACACAAATCAATGCAATCATTTAGATACAGTGCAGTATAGTATAAACAACAACATCTAGGAATAACGCAAGCGCTACAATGCCCTACATGGGAACTCCAGCAAACAATTTACTATATATCAAGCGAAAGTTAGCATTTTTAGCTTAATGGTTTATAAAAGTTAGAATTAGTGTATCGTAGTAGTAACTGATATATAAACGGTAAAACAATAATATTTTTTGACTGTACCACTATGACGCATAATGTTGAGCTTATATAACATTGCCGTTGTAAACAATTGGACGTAGCATATTGTATAAAATAGTATGAATAATTTACTGTTACAGTAATTTAAAATCATCTGGGAATAATAAAGTCCATGACGAAATGCTAAGAAGTGCAGTGTAAACATTCAATAGCTATTTTGCATTGCATTGTAGTTGGTAATACCATCTAGTGAATGGTCAATGTAAACTTTTTCTTAATGCATTTGTCTATCGTGGGACCGGCGGTAAAATAGAACGTCATTGTAAGCGTCTGTTATGCATAAATACGTACTGTACAGTATGTATATGCTATTATAATATAGTAATAATAAAAATTATATAGGACAGTATACACACATAATTACATCCCATGCTCTTAATTTAGGGCGTGCACAGATTTATGAGCTTTAGTAATGGGCAAAGCTTTAGAAAGGACAGCTAGGGCGTCGTAGATAGAGTACTCTTAGGCAGGTACAAATAGCAAACTGGACGGAAGTCTTACTGCAAAACAATTGAAATCTTAAGGAGCGGCAACCAGTCAATTTATTGTCAAATGCTGAAAAACAACGGACATGCACAACATGACATGCTGTATATACGAGTATGCAGTAAATTTCTATATTTTAGCGCAGGTTAAATATATAAACCCTACCGAATTGACTATGGAGAAATTACAATTTGAAATGAAAAATCATAATAAATGAAGACAGTTGGGCAATCAATGTTGAGTAAATTGCCTACAATGAGATAAAAACGTGTCCAAAAGGATTAAAGTACCCGTTCAAATGTTGTTATACTGAAATAGAGCTACTTAATCGATGTAAAATGAATGTTCTATCAGCCTGCTTTGTAAGCAAAAACAGATATAGTAGCTGATCAAAGGCAAATATTTCACTACATAACTCTAGGCGTTGATTCAGCCTTTTAGCAAACGATGTGGTGAAGTTAAAAAAACTCCAGGAATGGACATTTGAAAAATTGCTTTCAGGCTTTATATGAATCGTAAACCATGAACGAAAGCAAAGAGAGTAAATTATGAATTACCGTACCTTTGACGAAAGAGAAAAGTGAAAAAACTTCAAGTAGCGATTCGAAACAGAAAAAGTTCTTAATGAATTTCTTCGACTTCGGTTAAAATGATCCCCACAGCACAAGGGTAAAACGATTCTAAAGAATAATAACAAAAACGCTCGAATATATAGTGATTTCCGTAATTGAAATTTTAATTACTTTTTAATGATCCTTTGTTATGATAGCATTAAATAATACCAAAACGTCTCCGTTAAATTATATTTGCTACTTTACATTATACTAAGGTTATTAATTAATTAATGCAAGATGTAATACAATAAAGTGCAAAGATAGAATGATAGGTGCGGCCCATCTTTCCACACTCCTGTCAGTTAAAAAATTTTCTTAAATTAACAAAATTGTTTCGGGAGTTTTATCTATCACATTACAAATTCCGTAAGCTAATATTAGTGTCATGTGAACTTGTAACTATTTTAATACATTCTAATAGGGTTGGAACGAAGATGAGCAGAACAAGCAAGAAGACAATACGTTTACTGCAGACAAAAACTTGGCAGCTTACGTATTTTCGCTAAACCAATGATCATTCATTTCAGCTTTTTAGTGCAGCCGTAAAATCAAGTCAGTATGGACATGGACCACTAGAAAGGAACATTACGGTTACTTTTCTAGTAGTCCATAGCATGGGTTACATTCTTTTGTCATGATGATTATATTATAGTTGCATCGAATTAATTAATAAAAATAACTAATGCAATACATCCTCTCCGTAGTTTATACGAGCATTAATATCAACGCAAATTAATTATCACCATCTATCAGAAGCCGTATCACTGCATTCCTTTCTGAATATTTTCAGGTAGTATCAAAAATCTACATATCACTTACGATAATCAATAACACATTGGATATAAATAAAAATTTTAGTATGTATATCATATTATACAGTAGAACATCTATGCCGGTAGGGAACGAATGTTTGTAAACATAGAAGATTTCACAAAAAAGTGTTTACAGTAGAAAATTTCTTCAATGATTGTAAGTATATTTTTTGTCATTCTTTAGAAAGTACTCATACTGTACTCCAAAGTTCGAAAGCAAGACCGATTCTTGTTGTTTATCATTTTATACGTTTCTCGCAGTTAAATAAACTTGATCAGTTCTGAAATTATTGCTGTGCAAATCATTCGTTTATTTATCCAGTGCTCTTAGCCATGCCTTACCAGTAAATCAATCGTCTTGACCTGCATTTAGCATTGATATTAAGGTATTTAAACACCATTTCGTAACTACATGATACAAAAAAGGTAGCTTTGAACGGCTACTGAGTTTTAAATTTCCTAGTCCTGTAAGCGAACTATTTTACATTTTTAAATTACTAACGCTACTCAGCCCTATTTTACTACGACGAGGCTAGTGGATAACGTTGATTTAGCCGTTTCAACTTGTGTATATATTCTAGTAGCAAATACGCGAGTAATGATCATATCACAATTCAATCATATAAATTCAATAATCAATAAATATAAATATATATGCTCATGCACAAGATTTTCTCAACCATACTTCAATGTAATTTACTCGTATTCACGAATAAATGTTGATAAACTAAATCAATAAGGCACGATAAGATTACATCCTTTTTCGGGAGTTGTTTGAGTGACAGATTGTAGTAAAGCCCACAACATTCCGAACTACAAGAAAAGCCATCTGTTATCTATTACTCAGATTGGTAGAGGAATTTCACGCAGCCATAAGGTAAAATGTAGTAGCAACGAAACTATACAGTAATTGAGTGATGCCACGGATTCTTCTACCTCGCAGAATTGTACAAACTATTTTAAGTTATTCATGTTCTTCAGACATTGCATAACGAGCTTTCAGTGCAAAGCAGTCAGTAATGGTTTATTACTGTAGCTCATTCTTACAAGCTTACAGGCTGTACAGTACAATAACAAGGAGAATGCTAGGAGTATTTACGAAAAAACCATGTAAAACTTTCATGCAAGTAATAATAAAGATTCCGTCTAGATGTAATCACAATATCATATCGTACAAGATAAGCAAGTGAAATTTTGTTTGATTGGTATTCTAATATCGGGTAATCAGCTATGGTATTAGCCATTTAGTAACTGTAGCAAGGATCAAAAATTTCTCATCTAAAAACCAGCCTTTGAAGTATTTTTAACAACGCATTTGCAGATTATTATTAAGAAACGTAATAGAATATTGTAGTTGTAAATCCACGAGAAGTCTAATACCCAGGTTTAATATTATTCAATCAAACATTCATCTCTTTCCAATATCAGTATCGTACTATAACCAAGATAAATACCTCTATCAGTATATGACTCCATTCCAAGAATGTACACAACGAAGATACTATTGGCTTTTCTATACTATAATATGATCTGTACTATAAAATTTATTTATTTATTGTATTGTACAGTTTGAAAGCATGTATTTAATACTTCATGTACTATACTGTACAATGCCGTAAATAATTTCAGCTTCTCATGTTCGGTATCAACTGTTTACTTACTGTTAAAATAAAATTATTATAATCATGCCCTAAGCCCAGCCGATAATGTATAATGGCATGCGTTAATTAACGTCAAACCATTACGACTTACTATTTCGATCTAATGAGTTTTAGAAATAAACAAAAGCTATAGTTTTTACTACGTCAAATTATATCATTATTCACAGAGAAGGCGAATACGTAATCTATGTAAATATATAGTAAAGTAGATGTTTCATTGCAACAATTTCTGTAAACTAACAATAGGGTACAGACTATACAGTACGGATTTCTCTGTATGTTGTACACAAATCTGGAAAACGTAGGTGTCTATTTGTATCCCTGACATGTTAAAAATGTCCAAAATTGTCTCTCAACACGATCGCCTCCCTCCAATAAGGAATAACAACACCAATTGAAAGAGCTCTACTATCTCGGCAAACGAGTCCTTTCCATGATCCTATCTTTTCAGTATAATGTTCATTGCCCATCTAATCCCTTACATTGTATTAGAATTAAGTTAGTCCAAAACTTCTTTCTTCTTGCTGCACAAGGCCTCTAACAGAATGGTAGACAGAAATTATGCCTTCTACATGCTATGC